CGCCGCGAGACGAAAGTGTGGAGAAGTGGCTGTTGATGGGTGGGGTTGATTGGCTGTGTGTGTGTGGTGGGGGGGTGGGGGGTGGGGGGTGGGGGGTGGGGGAGGAAGGGGACATTCTCACCTCCAAAGGAGTCGGTTTCTGAGCGTTCTCGCCTCCCCCTGTAAAAGAATGAGAGACACCCCTCAGTTGCCCAACACAGGGATGCGCGCTTTGTGAAGGGCTCGTTGTACTCCAGTTGAGCACATGTGCAGCAACCCCTCACTCCCCGTTCGCAAGCAAACTGCCCAAGACTGTAGAACACAAGACATCCAACCACATTCCCTGTACCTCAGCTCGGCACACCGCATTTTGCAAGGGCACACCCCTGCACCATGCCACGGCGGAGGCAGTGCTCAGCTTCCTTGGATATCGGCTATGATGAAGGCAGTCACATCAACAGCCGTCGGTTGTGCGGTATGACAGCCCAACAATGGGACGGAGAACATCCAAGGCATGTATTGTCCGGATGGCACCACGTGCAGAAAGGCGATCCCGTGGGAAACGCTGATGCTGGGCGTCCTGCATCGCCCATCAGTCCTTATGGACACTGGAGGGCAGGACGAAGGGACAACTCAGACGATTCGATCCCCCACCATTGCTTCCAGACGATCACTAACTCGTCCCATACTCCGTTACAGCTCGGGCTAATGTTCTGAGATTTGCGCAGGGAATGGCCGCCCAGGCCCATAGCCGAAACCGCAACTCACCGGTCATTTCCCCCGCTCCCCCCCTGCGCTTGGACATTGCTCCTCTGTCACGAACGGCGGCCTGCGGGAATCCACCCACTCCATTCAAGTCTTCGGCGCAGGCAGCTCTCCCTCCGGAGTTTCAAGGGGCGGAAACTGCATGGTCTGTGCAGCGTGCACGCTGTGATGACCCCCTGTGCGGAACAGGGGCCGGGCATGGGTCGTTGTGTGATGTGTGTGACCCAGGTGGCTTCCGGTGTACGGCGCAACGCCCAGTGACGGCCTGCGTGTTGCTGTGAATTTTATGGACCCATTGATTTATGTGCTTTCGAATGAAAGCATATCCCTCGCAAGGAGCACTTTACGGACTAGCGTCGCCCAAATATTGACTGCTTAATGTTTCGTTAACCAAAAGGTGGTGGACCATGTTCCAAAGTTTGGAACACTGCTTGGGATCCAAACATTGGGCAGGATGTCCTGTCCCGCCTGCATGGTGGGTGCAGAGCGAGCAATTGTAGGACATACAGCTGTGAGACAAAATCGACAAATACAGCCATGATCAAGTCTGTACACCACTAACGCGCGAGTTGCGACACCGCAGCTGGAGGTAATGAGTTAGCGAATGGTGCGATCGCACTACTTGCTAACCCGTTAGCTGCAGTAACAACTAATTAGTGCATTACTCACTTCGGGAAATTTCCCCGAGTCTTTCGGAATCAAAGACCACACGGACGGGAAGGTGCACATTGCCAACTCACCAATGCAATCTACTTCTGCATTCGGCTGAGTTCCTATGGCGAGGCACGATCACCAACACTCACTGTTGATAAGTGCACCTTGCCAGGCATCAGAACTGCGTTGATTCAGCACGACAGTGTGTGGGCTTCAGAGAGCGGAAAGTTGCTGCACAAGCGAAAACTGGGCTATACTCGAAGAGTAAGAGACCCATCCAGCCACCCACCCCACTCACCCCACCCCGCAAACCCATACACTTCGCTCGTTGTACACAGAGCCTTCCCAATGCTGACCCTCCTTGTGTACGAGACCCTCCTTGAAACATAAAAAAGTTAAATTCCAGTGTACCTAAAGTTTTCGCTGATCATGCTGAAGTGCAGCACTTCTTCGTGAACGCTGCTGTGTTGCACACGGCAAAGCAAACTAAGCTGCAAGTTCCCCAATCAGAGTGGGCCATTCCTGAGCCTCCAATTGCAGCTGTGCTCGACGCTAATTCTGCTTATCACAGCCGTCTCATCTCTCTAATGACTGCAGCGCAGCCGTGCTGCTTCGCACATGAGGATGCCCTGCACCGCAATAATACAATTATCATTAATGATCCCTTGCCCTTCTTCCGGGAGCCTCGTCTCCTGGGCGACTCTGCGATATATGCGACGACTTATGCATGTTCACCATGCGTGAGAACGTGCTACGGAAATGTCCCCAATCCCGCTTGTGCGACATTTCCATAAATATCCCTTCAAACTACCTCACCAAAATTCCGCATTAAAGTACCCCTTGGCTTTCTAAGTACATAACTTTCGAGGCTTTGCGAATCGACACTGTCCCGAGCTTCGCCCTCACCGCCGCCTCGGACAGCCTCAAGGAAGTGGACAGCACCAGGCGTTCCAAACTTCTCAGGCTCTCCAAGGCGGACATCCCCTGGCTGGTCAAGTTTTGGCAGTAAGAGATATCCAGCTCCCTCAGGTTCTGCAGTTCAGCCAGCCCCGCCAGCCCCTTGTCCGTCAGCCGGCTCCATTCCGAGAGCCTGAGGCTCTCCAGGGCGGTGAGCCGCCGGAGTGCCAGCGCTCCTCTGTCTGTGAAACCGCACTTCTGGTAGCTGCTGGACAGGTCCAGGTGCCTCAAGTTGGTGAGGGGATACAACGCTTGGACTGCAAAGTCGGTCATGTCCGTGCAGTCCACTAGGCGCAAGGATGTCAGCTGCCTCAATTCCTGCATGACAATCACGTGTCTGTCGAGGACGCTCTTGCAGCCATCCAGCGTGAGCGACGTCAGGGAGGTCATGGTGACGAGGGCGAGGGCGTCGGAGGTGCTCATAATCGTTGGGCACTTCACCAGCGCGAGGGACTCCAGGCCAGAAAGGGTGCTCAGGCAGGAGAGCTCCACTTCGAAGCACCCCAATTGGAAGAATTCCACGCTTCGAAGGGACGGAAGGTGCGAGAATGCGGAGAGGCCGTAGGGGCCTGCGATGTGGCAGCCGTGGAGGCGCAGGACTTCCACCGAGCGCAGGCGGGCGAGAGTAGACATTGTGAATTCCACCCCTATGTTCACGCCGCTGAACTCCAGCCTCTTCAGACAGGGGAGGGGGTCCAGGGTCATGACGCAGTGCTCCTCCCGCCCATGGCACCCGTTGATGTCGAGGTCCGTTAGCTTAGACAAGTTTCGAATGCCGTGCAGGCTCGGCAGGTTGCGGCAGTGTGATATGTCGAGCTTTGTCAGGCCGAAGAGCTGGCCTATCACAGACAGCCCGTGCGATGACAGATTGCAGCACTTGGACAGGCGCAACGCTGTCATGGAATCGAAATGCTTTAGGGCGAAGAAGGCGTGGTCCGTCAGGCGGGTGCAGGAGCTCACGTCCAATTTCGTAAGGGCCCTGAGACGGGGGGCGATGGAAGCAATGCCCGCGTCCAGCACTTTGTCGCAGCAGGAAATATCCAGGGAGGTCAGCATGGTGAGGGGCGAGAGAGAAACCACACCGGTATTGGTCACCTACATGTGTGCAAAATCAATGGTGAGACGCAAGCAGAAACTGCCTCACAATTCAGGCCCAGGTCTAAGTGCATTTCAGGTTGATCATTTCGGAATCAGAATTCGGAGAGATTTGGATTTTTCCTGATTAGTCGTCAAACGCTCACATGATTGTGCGCTCGCAAAGCAACTGCTTGCATCGCAAGGACGCGATTGGCGCTTCTTGAAGCAGAATAGCAGTGCAGCCTTACCTGGGTGCACGATGATAGACTCAGCGCCTGCAACAACGGCAGATTCGCCACACCCAGCAGGTCTTCATCCTGGAGATCCGCCCAGCCAGACAAATCCAGCGATGTCAAATTCCTCAGCAGGAAAAACTGTGACTCTGCCAGAGGGCGGGATTTGGTAGAAAAAATGTAGATCCCAATGCCCTGTTTGGACAAGTCCAAGTTGGTGATCTGGGGGAACGTCCTGGCAATGGTGCTCAGCGGCTGTGGCGGCTTCGTCGACTTGATGGTGGATATGGAGCCGTCGACGGCTCTTTTCCATTCCTTGCAGACAAGCCGCATCTGAGCGTTGCAGGCCTGGGTGCTCAGCTTTGCCACTTCGTCAATCACATCAGCGATGGCGGACCAGTCCATACCGCCTGGACCGCTGGCCGCGCCTCAGAATCTGCAAATCAGGACGAAGGGCTTCAGCCTTCGACCTCCATGTGGTCCAAATTTGGAACACACAACAGGCGTTGAGGGGTGTGCCGGCGAATTCCGACATCGTTCCAGGGCAATGGACCGCCATTCCACACAACATCAAATGAGGCCTAGCACGCTGCACGTGCGGTGGCACTACTGACGCAGGTGCACCGCTATAAATCCCGTCAACAGGGACGTCACACGGCTGTCTTTCAAACATTGTGACTAGCATCGCTCTGCATCACGTGAACGCCGAGTCCCCGCCGCACAGGACCGTGTCAGTCCTGTTGCAAAGTGCGCGACCGCCGGGAACGACAGCGCGATGCTGCGTGCTCGACCAGTGGCCTCTTCTATGGCAGGCATGAGGGGCGTCATCCTTGTGGCTAAGTTCACGAGCCCCTGGGGGCCGATGTGGCAGTGTTGAGTGGCTTCATGCAGCCATTGCGCGCGGAGCGCCGAAAACGTGTTGGTGCTCAGGCCCAGGACTTGCGTCATCCGGCAGAACGGGGTTTCCTTTCCACCCGGGCTGCAAGCCGACCTGCTGGCATTCATATCTGAGGGTGCGCCAAGGGCTGCTGGAAAAGTTCCAGGAGCTTTGGCAGCAGTTCGGCGCATGTGGTCCGGCATCCGCCATGGTCTCCGTATTGAGGAGCGCCCACTGCCTTCAGGCGGTGTCCGGACTGAAACGCCCGAAAGGCAATGGGCGCTTCACGAAGAAGGGCGCAGGCTCTAGCACTGTTGCCAAGCGGGCCGCAGATGAAGCCGATTCGGCGTACTGGAAAGAAGACCCAGCCGCATTTGCGAACGATGGGAATGTGCGGTGGGTACCCGCTCGCGCCAGATGTTACACCAGCTACCCTCGGCGTCGCCGTTGGGCTAAACACCGTTCAGCGTGGCGCCAGATGCTGCGGCGCTTTTGGCACCACGCCCTTCGCCTTTCCGTGTCGTTGGGCCTCTAGTGCCGCGCCCATCCCATCACACCCAGGCCCATCGCATCGTCCCAGACATCGCCAAGTTGCCTGGGCCTCGCCGCAGCCGCGATCGCTGTCCAGAGCTGCGCCTGTTCCCACCGACTCAGCGAACGGAGGGCCAATCTCCCAGCAACGAACTGCCTACCTGGCTCTTCGGCCAGTTTTGCCCACGCTCGCTACTCGCTGCGCAGACTTCCGCGCGCATCGAACGGGACAACTGTTGCGAAAGGCCGAGCCAAGAGAGGTTGCTCACCGGTTGGGGCTATTGACACTCGCCCAGCGATCCTCGACGGGGCTGCCGCGGAACGTCGTGGCCCCGCGGCGGTGGTCGGTCGGGAGCGGGTGGGCGCGCTTGAGCGCTGAGTCGTACCGAGATGACCGGCGAGTGTTGTGCGCCGCAGCATGAGGCGAGACCTTGAGCCCATTGATCTGCAATGGTTGTGCGGATCATCTTCATCGGAGAATCGTGGTTCCAGGTTGAGGGCACATGGCCGCCTGGCCGCTTGGTGTCGCTCGTACGGCATGTAGGTATGGTGGCTTGCTGGGCATGCGTTCTTCTCAAGCGGGCGACAAAGAAGCGCGGCTGAAAATCAACATGCGGCGTGTGAAAGCGGAATTGCCGCCTTTGGTTTGCTTCTGCAGCTCAAGCAGAAACGCCCCCAGCGTACACATCGCTGGGACATCCAGCCCACCGAGCCCCAGACCTGGTGAATTGTGCACAAGCCTGGTCTTCAATTGATTGTCGTCTGCCACAAGTTGTTGGACGACTGGCTTGGGGCTTGGGCGAATGATGAGGGGACCACATTGCCCAGACATAGCAGCGGTTGTTTGGCGGCTGTGGACGGCTCGTGGCTTGCTGGAATGATCACGGTCTACCCGGCACGGCGGGGCATGGCGAGCCAGGGCCACAGGTGTGGGACAAAGCAATTGAGGGGCAGCAGGGCCCCAGGCGGGCCGGGAGTGGGTGAACTGACAGTGGACGTGAAGGTGCGCTGCTGGCCGGTGCACGAACTTCGGCCGCGATCTCCCGGGGTGTCCCACCATCCCACGCCGCTGGTGTGGGGCGTGCAACTCCGCTGCTTGTGCACGCAACATTTCGCGACAAGGTGGGTTCTATGGGCACCTCCAGGAGATCCCTTGTGACATATGCGTTGCTTCGGCATGCGATGGTGCAACCATTTGTTCGTGCCAGCAGAATTTTCTCATTGACAACTTGTTGTGGACACACGGCCTGAATCTCATGGATCTTTCTCCCTGCGAGACGTGCATCATATTACGGCCAGAAATAGCGAGGCCTCACCAACGCCAGCAATTGTGCGCGGCGGAGAGCACACACATCAGGGACACGAGGGAGTGATGGTAGCGCCCTGCTGCCACCACCATCCAATTCGAGCACACATGTAGAAATGTCACAGTTAAAGCACCGGATGATAACAACTGCCACCACTTCCTCGATGTTTGCATTTTCGCCAATGAGGCAACCCGGGCACCAGAGCTTCCGTGATTATTGACACTTCAAGTGGTCAGTCTCCAGGGGTTGAGTCGCGCACTGCAGAGTGACGCAGCCCAGCACCCAATTGCATTCCCTCAGAATCCGTGGATCTTTATCATGTCCTTCTTTGCAAGCTTCCCCTGAAGCACAAAAGCCAGGATCTTGTTCAGACAAAAGTAGAGTGTCGCAGAGGCTGCCAGCTCTTGGGAAACTGCGGCATTTGCAGCATACCAGACAGGAAGGCGACAGCCTTCTCATTCTGATTTATTGTGCACGTTCATGAAGAGACAAGTCACAAAGACAATAGGACCTGACAAATGGTTGGCATGTCGCAAGGAGATTGAGTAGTGAATTGGTGGCACCTGCCTTATGCTGAGCATACTTCCATGGATGAAAGTACGGCCCATGTCACCACTTGGAGGGTCAAGTGCGATCCCGACTAGCCCAGCTACCTTGCGTCAACTCTCTCGGGCAATCTTAAGGATTCGAACGTTAATGGTGCACAGAAGAATTTTCTGTTCCTGATAATATTAGAGCACAGCTTGCAATCTTCTGGAGAAACTGCCAGAGAACACTCTCTTTCAATGTGGAGCTGTTTCATTGACAGCGAGTCGAATGCTGCAAATTTGGCAACGTCTGTCGACGATCACTGATGTCACAGTGCACTAACCTGAATGAGAAACTGGGACACAGGCTTCCTCTGATCGCCCTGCAGCTGAATGACCTGTGGATTGCACAAAGCACTGTGAGATGCCGCTGGCCTGCGACGGAGCTCAAAGCTTCGTTCATGCACAACACAGCCACAAAAGGAAACCCCAAGGTCTACAATTGCAGCCACGATGGGCTGGGTTGGGTTGGGGCAAATGGGCAAAGGGAGGGGAGGCAAGAGGAGGGGAGGAGCAGGTGGAAACACACAATGCTCCCACACCCTATCGAAAGCAAACGGGCATCTGCATATAGGGCAGATATTGTGCGGGACTTGTGCAGGAATGTTTTTAAAAGCATGATGCGTGTATAAGACACATGTTTGAATGTGGGCAGATGCACTGGGAACCGTTTGCCCCTTTACTGATACATGCATTCGACAGCTAACTCGCAACAAGCGAGGTCTTATGTCCCCTAACTATTGGCGAACTGAGGGACAAGGGCCGCTGTGATTCAATCAAGGGAGAATCTAACATGAGCTTGGTGCAGGTTGGGCACTGCAGTGACCAGGTAACACGAAGGTCAGATGTTTCATGTTGTATTGGCAGCAGAGTCCATACTGACTTTGCTTTTGTGCACAATTGCCATCCTGTAAGTAGCAATAACATAAGATGGGTTGCCACATACAGGACATGTCTCTTTCTATGGGTCGACAGCTCATCAGCTGATCACGTTGACACTATTGTACATTGTCACATGTTCACTTAAAAAGCAGCACAAAGAAACAGACACTGAAATAGACACTACACAACGTACCTTCCCCACACCTTCGTCTTCAACAACGATCCCGTTGCAGCAAAACTCTGGAAACACAGGCAAGAGTGGAGGTCAGAAGCACACATGAGTGCACAACAGCAGAACATACATCTCACCCAGCACGTGCTAAACTGGCAACAGTGTGATGCCTGCAGCAACTGCTTCAACGGGCCAGGCTCCACACAGATCTGGCGAACAAACAGCTCACAAAACTTGCACCCTGGACCATGCCCCCATGGCTTCAGAAGTCGCAGAATCTACTGGCCTCAGATGCGACATGCAGACCTGTCCCAGCCTTTCCAGACAGGGTTGCACAAGTACATGGAGCACACTGCCGCTTCGTTGACTTGGGTTCTTTTGTTGCCGCCTCCGCACCTTTCTTGATGGCCTTCAGCACTTTGGACAGGAACTTGTTCACCTTCTCCGGGTTTGACGTCCCCTCGAGCTTCTCAAACAGCTTGTCAAGTCCCTGAGCCACCACCACCGAACGCCCTCAGCGCCAAACTCAAGATCGGCAGCGCGAATCGTACAGCAGCGTCCGTCCGCTGCCCACAGCCCAGTCAACCAAGCGAGAAATCCGCCGCCACTACCCCAACCGAACCGCGCGTGAACACTTCAGACGAGGAAACACTGGCTGGTGGATGCAAGCGGCGTTTGGGAGTGAATCCACGTGTGTGAGAGTCCAGACTCTCAACAACGGCGGTTCCAAGCATGTGGCCTCAGTCTGTGCAAAGGCTCTGCCAGCAGCGGAGCTCCGGCGCTCCCCGTACAGGGCGGCATCGCGACAGACTATCCCGCTGGCCTGCCAATTCGCTTCTCCGCGTCCCTTTCTCACTGTGCAGGCGCCTTGCGATGCGCTGACTGCTGGCACAAGGGGGCACGGAGAGCCGTCCCAATGCCGAGTGTGACCGGAGAGGAAGCCGGCCCGCACCTGGGTGCCCGTACCGTGCGCGTAGCGGACGAGCGGCGAGCGGACACAATGAACGAATGAGCGGCAGAACAACGTTGTAGGATGCGTGCGTGGCCGTCATTCCCTTCACGCTTGCTGCACGAGGCACCGACAGGTTCGCCTATAGACGGCAATGGCAGAGGACTTCGGCGGCGCCCAGGGGCTATATGACACGCGCCACGCCTTCCCGCCGAGTCCCGATCGGCAGGCGCAGCACAGGGATTTACCATCCGGACCGGGCCGACTCACCTGGACCGTCGTCAGACTCTTCCTCCCGTTGCGCTGCTGCACGCGAATGTGGATCGCGTCTCCGGCCGTTGGGGAGTGCTCCCCGTCATCAAACTCGGCCGCGGTGCCTGCGGGGGCCCAAGGCACGCGTCAATCGCTCGCCCAAGGCCAGGGAAGGGAATCCGGGTCCAGATGCCGACGTGGATCGAACCGGAGAGGGGGGCGGGACGCCGAAGGCAGGCAGCCAGACGCTCGTACCTTTCGCGGGGAGGGTGAGGGCGATGTTTTGCGTTGCGACGTCTACCATTACCCGGACGCTCGCGGCTGTTCCAGGCAAGTCTTGACTTCTCGACCGGCCTGTGCTGTCACAGAGTGTGCTCGTCTGCGGGCTTGGTTGCTGTGGCTGTTTGGCTGGTTGGTTGAGGGGTTTGTCCTTTTGGGCTCTCGCGAAGATGTGACAGCAGCGGCTGACGCGGCTCGGGGGGTCACGTAGGCGGAAAGTAGGGACGGCCAGCCAGGGCTGGATTGGGGGGCTGCGGCCCGGAAGCCTCCAGGGGATTCGACGAGGTGAGTCAACGACGGCACCACCGCAGATGGGGAGATCCAGTATGCGCCGCGGGAGCGCGTTGTTGAGCGGCCTACGCGGATTTCGAAGATTCCCTGGCAAGGAAGGGCGTCACACTGTGGGGAGCCGGCCCCGGCCCCGGCCCCGGCCCATGACCCTTTCAAAACCGTGCTGACAGAAGGGAAAAAGGGTGGTAGATGGGTGCCATCACGTGTTGTTAGCCTCGTTCGCATTGACACCGCAAGATGACCACCGTTTACTGGCGGCGTGTTGCAACTTCGCAACATGCCACCAGCAAACGCTGGTCGTTTTGCGGTGAGCTGAACGGTGTGCAATTGCCCACCCACACAGCGCCCACAACACTGTGATCGAGTTGCAATCATGCTTTGGTGCACGGATCAGTGCATTTGATCAGCAAACGCGTTGTCTTGAAAGTACTCTGTCGGCATTGCTCGTTGACACATATCGCTCCTGGATATCGCAGAAGCTATTCATTGATTATGCGGCAGCCCTCACACTGTGTTGCCACGGCTGTTATGAGCAATGTGTGTATCAAATCTTAACTTCTGGGTTGCGCTGCTCACAGACCGCCTACCTGTTGGTGACTACATGGTTGGAAGCCTAGCACTTCACGCTCTGTCAATAGAGGGCAGGAATTTCGTTTTCATTGGGGCGCAATTATTCTGCTTGGTTTTCACGCCCATCATCGCCTACCAGGTGCACGGGCTGTGTTTTGTCATTTTGTGACAAATGTGATGCATGGATTTTGATCATGATGGTTGGGGCGCACCGGTGCAGAGTGCGCTACATGTCCCCTAGAAAATCCCACACAATGCACTGCATAACGCCGCAATGCTGCAACTCAGAATTCGGTTCATCAGCCACAGACGCGGCGATGTTTTCAACTGTCAACTTAATATCTCCAACCTTGGCGACATTCTCAACACAAGACAGTGCTTTACATTTCACACAGAGCCTTGCTCTCGGGAGATTTCCCCTGAGCCGTGTTTATTCTCCATTGAAGGGTTCCATCGATACGTTGCCAAAATTCAATCCAAAAGTGTCTCCGAAATGATCCACTTCGGGTGAAAAACAACCGAGCCAGCAATCGCCGTCTCAGGCATGACATCCAGCACCGCATATTTGCAGCCACACAACATTGAATGAAGGTCTGCGAATTTCGCAGGCTTGCCCGTTAACCCAAATCGCTCCAGACAAAATGAAATCCTGCAGAAGAACCTCACCCTTGCACCCTTACGCCCAGATCCAGAAAGAACTTTATTCAATGGAAACCTCGTGTTGGAGGGATCCCTGCATCACGTCGTTACGTGCATCAACGCGCATTCAGGCGCACCGTTGTACCTGCTCCTTGTCCAGGTGTTCCGCCTTCCAATCAATGGTCTTGGCGGTAAACTTGCAGATCTAAAAGCTGCCCATCTGGCGTCTTGATGGTAATCTTGCCAGCACGCCAGTCAATACGTGAATCAATTGAGGATAACCACGGCATACCCAGTACACCATCGACGTGTCTAAGACGCTCCGTACCGAGCACCTCCACCTTGAAGCGGCATTCCTGAGTGTATCCCCCTAGACAAAGCTCGTAAACAGCTTCCCGAAGCTCAGATTCAACCGGTGCCGGCAGCGCCTCATCAGCAGTGGCCCCCTGTGCTTCACAATCAATGCGCTCCTGCAGAGCGTGGGTAATAATATTATCGAAATCTCCAGAGCTTACCAGCATCCGCGCTGTGATTCCACTCAATTTGCAGACAACGCACAGGGGGCCGCAGATTCGGGCCAACCTTCGATCAACTAGCGTTGCACCAATTGCTTGCGCATCATCGGTCTCAATGTCGACGGCATCACCGGCAGTCAACGCCGGTATTGTGTCGCTTCCGGCACGTTCGATCGATGGATACGGTAGCGTGGGCTTGTCCTTCCGACGCTCATGGGGCTTGGTTGCCTTCAGGTAGTTGCGGTCAACGGTGCTCCGCGGGGGTCCGGGCACAAAAAGCCTTCTCCTGCAGGTGTCATAGGCGCTGAGTCCACCGAGAGGGGCCCCCTTCGCCGCAGACTGGACCCGCGCAGGCTGCCGGGAGTTCCCTACTCCTGAGGGTCGCTGCGGGGTGGGCCGCACAACGCCGTATTCAGGCAATTCGCGACGATCGCCACGAGGGGTGCCTTGCTCAGCCTCTACACAAATTCCGCCATGCACGCAGAAGGCTTCCGCTTGCTGACATGCCATGTGGCGTGCCCCACGAAACCCCTTCCGCCTATTGCAGCCCCCACGTCGGACGACGGGCCACCTGGTTTCAACTTGATCCCAGAGCTGTCTCCGACCTCTGGCGCTGTTGTCGTCTCCAAGCGGGTTCATCGTGGGCCTTGGGACCCTGCGCGGCACACGAACACCGGCCTCTTTGCTGATCGGAACTGTTCCTGAGCTTCCGAACCTTCTTCTGGGTCTAGGCTCCAACCACCTTCGTTCCAGGTGTCCAACCCCGCATCTGCGCTGGAGGACGCCGCACATCACAGTCCCTTTGTCGCCACCCACCCGGGAGATCGCCATCCATGCGATCAACTGCCTGGTCTAAAAGATGCTAACCAGGGCAACGCGAGGTTCCGGCGGGGGACGCGAAGTCTCGGGCGATGCGGACCACGAGAATTCGGCCCCAGACATGATCTGCCCCCAAACCCCTCTCCTACCCCACCCCAGCCCAACCCCTACCCCCCACACGCCTTGTGTTGTGACACCATCATCGGGCTCCTCCGCCCGTCGGAAGCGCCCCTGAAGGTCACTCACCTTGCCCGTCCTTGCGCGTGGCGGTGCATAACTCTAAAAGTTTGGGGAATGGTCGCGCGAGGGTTGCCTTTGCCGACGACG